AAACCTGCCAGAATTCGCATTTTGATGCTGGCCCACTTTAATTTGCGTCCTAGTGAGCTTCCACCTCTTCAAAAGGTGCAAAACGTTGTGTGTTACTATCGCCGCACAAAACTAGGCGGTAGTGACACGACGTCCAGCATGGTTGCTGCTGTGAGAGGCCGAGCATTCAACGGAGGAGAAGACGATCACGAAGCTTTCTCGTTCGGCTAGGATGTGGATCGAGATGGCGCTTTCGTTGTCGGGAACGGCTCCGACGAGAAGCCGTTTCTTGTGGGTTTACGACGAAAGCTCTGTTGCGACAAGCTGACAGAGACCCCAGTACCTTCATTTTCCACGTGGATGCTACCTACAAGACGAATCAAGTTGGTTATCCTCTGATCGTCATTGGGATTACCGATGTTGCGCGTAGGTTTCACTTGTTGTGTATATTCGTCACCTCCCAGCAACAAGAAGGACATTTCGCCAAAGTATTTGCTGCTTTGCGATGGATTTACCGCAAGGTCGTGGGCACACCTCTCCGCGTCCACTTCGTGATGGGCGATGCAGATGTGGCCCAGTACAACGCGCTGGCATCCGTTTTCAGCGACTGCAAGTACATCCACCTGATGTGCTATTATCACGTCATAGCAAAGATGGTTGATCGCTTGAAAGGGTTGTCTAATGAGCTCAGCTCCACGGTACTTCAGGATGTCTACGATATGCACTACAGTAGAAGCTCAGAAGAATTGACAACTATCCGTACTGCTGTCGAATTTCGTTGGCAAAGTAACCCTTTGTTGCAATCACTCCACGCGTACTTCAAACGTGTCTGAATGAACGAGCGATTTTTCCACTGGCAGTGCTTTCGAACGCCACCTGGATTTGCTACCACTAAAAACCCGGTTGAGCAATTCAACCGGGTATTAAAGCGAGACTACACAGCCCATAGGCTACTGGAGACGGGCGAGCTACTACAACAACTCGCTTCTTGTTGCAGCAACCGCTCTATCGACGTCCGTCCGTTTTCGGAGTCGCCTGGCACCTCGAAAGAGCTGCTGTCCCGCGTGAAGGCACTACGCGGCAAGCAGTTACTTCGTGAATTCGTATTGCCCCGGATGAGCGCCGATTTCCTTCTTGTGGACTCAAGCAACGATGTATTTCACGTTTTGTACACACCACCCAACCGAATTTACAACACCACCTCGAACAGCGCCCACGAAGCTATTCAAGTCTCAGCTCAAGTAGGTGCAAACACTGCGCGCATGGAGATCGCGAACTAACCGGAGACTGGATAGCCAGTCGACATGGTAACGCAGACATGTCCTTGCGCCTATCACTTCAAGTACACAAACTGAGTGCACCGCATTTTTGCCATGCAGGAGCGAGCACGAATCGACAGTAACGGAGATGACGTACTGGTGAATCGAAGAGTTTCCAAGAGGAAACGTGCTGCCATTGGACCTGCCCCTGTTGCTGCTGGTCGCTCCTCTCTCGTTGGACCCGCATTGCAGCTGGAGTAATGTGGCGGCAGCAAAATGCACGCTAATGACGCTGCGGCACCGACGCTTGCCGATAGGACATTTGCTGTTGTTCAACAAATACAAACATAACTACATAAATAAGTTGTCTCCAAAGATTAAAAAAAAGTCATTAAATGAGCCTACATATCCAACCGGAGGTACGCCTGGTTGCCTTCCGACAGGGAATGACATTTTTCTGCTTTTGTCTGCGTCCAAATGCGCTTTACTCTCCTAAATACAGTTCTGCGCCATGTGTAAGCGCATCTCTCTTCCATAAAGCTACCCATTGGCAATGGACCGTTGCTGCTTGTGGTACACGTAGACGGCACTTCCCGCTAACTGAAAAAATGGCAGCCTGCCACTTGCCCTTTCGGGGAAGTATTCATCAATACTGGAAGGTTGGGGCTCGTCCGCTGGTATTTTCACCTCGAGTAGATAGCCTTCTTGCTTGGACA